AAACGTTTAAACGAAAAAAGATTTGTTGAAATAACTATAACTACGCGCAAAACAAATAGTAAAAGTTCTATAGTTAAAGTATTCTGAATTTTAATAATTATTCAATTAGGTATTCTAGTTTCTTAACGGCCCCTAGGCTCTCTCCCGTCTGGCTGCGGCACTGATCTGAAACGACTGTGTTTCTTCAACAAATTTTATACATTTATTCACAATCCACTGTTCTACGATTGATTAATTTTAGTAATTAAATCCGTAGATTTGTTGTGCAAAACTTTAAGTAAGGTAACATAAGAAAAATTAATGGGATTTCGGTACATCCAGAAAGTTACCATGTTTATATGCTCTAGAAACTAGGCCCTACAGTGTTTGCATTATCATCACACACAAATCATTGTGCATTTTTACCGCCAATAAATTCGTTTTTGTTGTCACCACGAAATGTGCGGTTTTCGTTTAATGGTTAACATTGACATTGTATGCGTAAATACACGCATTAAATAAACAAATGATTTTCACCTATGTAAAACAATATACAAATAGAATTATCAACTATACTCGTTTAATATTTATGTCTGTATAGTTTGCACATTTTGAATATTGATTTAAAAAAACAACATATTGTTAATTAAATATTTCTTCGGGATAATACCACTATAAAAGTCTGTGTAAAATACATTTTTTTTACTAGACATTCGTTTTTTCTATCATTTTTAGTTAAAAATTAAAAATATTATAATGCGATATTTAATAATTATTTCTATAATTTTTTTTGTGGTCTTTATCCACATAGGGCGGTCTTCGGGATCAGGAGAAAATAAAGGTAATTGGTTTTTTAATATTGTTCAATTTTGATAATTTAAAAATTTTAACATCTATATTGGAGTAAATACCGATGTATGTTTGATTATTTAATACTGTGGTCGATTATTAAAATGAAGAAATAACGGGAAAAATACAGACAAAGTTCGTATGATAGGTGGGCCACTGTTTTAGGCGAGAAGTTTGAATGTTAGAGGGTAAATTGAATGTATGTCTGTACGTGACGATTAATTATTGGTAACGAAAAACGATTCATTTTTACATTTGCTCGGAGAATTCTTGAGAATGTCTAAAAATGATCTTCTAACCTTCTGAATCAGTTTTTTTTTTCAAAAAATGTGCTATGTAAATCAAAGCAAAATTACTGGTAGAAAAGTTGCCCACAGGAGAAAAGAAGGCCACTCAATTTTTTATTATGTCTACATTTCTTACATTTTCCGGTTTTTCTTCCTTTTATTTTCGGCTTTTCACATCTGGAGAAAAATTACCTTTTTAAAATACCTTCCCAGAAAGATTTCTTTTTCGAAAAATAGCTGTTATCAAAAATCTGAGCAATTTTTCTGGTAAAAAAGTTGTTAGCAGATGAAAAAAAAAATTGTTTTTTTTATCATTGGAAAACCATACGATTCAACGCTCCTACTCGCAATCTAAAATAAAAATCTTAATTTATTTATAATTTAATCATACAAATAGAATAGGTATGCTTAAAAACTAAAATTCAAAGGTAATGGGCGTTGAGGGAGATATATATAGTTTCCCTGTCTGTTTTGAAACTTGGATGAAATGTTTATTGTGGTGTAGTCATTTTTAATAATCCACTATGGACGAGAGTAATTCGTTATTGTATAAGAATAAAAACGATAGTACAAAAGCCACGCGTAAAACGTGATTACTCGCGACCACGAGTCTACTATGGTAGATATATTATGGTCTTAGGAGAATGAGTTAAAACATTTTATATTACAGAGTATTAGAGTTTTCTGTTAGAGCCCAACCTATTCTGACCTAACCTGTTCCAAAAATGTCAGTAGTTCCACTATAGAAGAATACAATTGGTGGATAAAATAAGTACTAAAACTGCCTCTCAAAGTGGCTGCATCAATAATCTATTGTCCCGGCCTTATTTTCTAAGACTGTGGTTGTAATAATATAACTGTGGATATTATAATGAATGTGAAATCACTATGGGTTTCAAATTCTGGAACGTTATTATAATATTTATACTATAATACTAATATTTATACTATAATACTAATATTTATATTATATTTTACTTAAATGAATATATTATTATTCGATGTGTGCTGAGTTTTCTTATTTTCTTCTCTTTTACCTTCATCTGAAATATGATAGGGTCGGGCATAATCGTCATAAAATTCCAATTAATTCGATCTCTCACATCATCTTAACAGTGACCAGTCGTTCTCCTAACCATTCTCCATCTAATCAAATATACTTCGGTCATTTTTTTATTTTTTTCCTTCTACATTTATCTTCATTATAATTTGTTTGTTTTTGATAGCAAGCCCAAATTGATTTGATATTAAAAAAATTTGTTTTTTTTTTTTTATTCTAGTGAATGAAAGTAAGTATTTTGTTTAAATATTCATGTGGTTTCTTATTTTAAAATAAGTATGAAATCATAACTTAGAGTTGGAATTCTTAATCAAGAGTTGGTTTTAAATTTCACAAAAACAATTCCACCCTATTACACTTAATTATATAGAATCGCATTGAATTATATTGCCGTTTACATTATTATACAGTTACATTTATGTCTCTTGATTTATGGTCAGATCTTATGATTAGGCTCAAGGAGTTCATTGCAGACATCATTCATTCATGGTTAGGGAATGAAAGACGAATTATTATCATGTAATATATAAACATATATTAACAATTTTAATTGTTGGTATTTCTACTTTACTGGGATATTAGTTTTGTCCATGATTAACAATAAATGATCAGTATACTAACCATTTTTTAGGAGCCGTGTATAGGAAATTTTTTGTTTGGATTCGTGCAGTAGTCATTAAACTGATTTTATGCAATTCGCTATAGCATTTAAATAATTCAGAAATTTTTCGTTCAAATTTTGATTACAATACATCCATATTCTCAGTAAGATAATCTTATTGACAAATCACACTAGGAAAAACTTGATACTAACATTTTTTATTGTCAATTGATAATTCATAAATGTTGTGAGATATCAACTTGATCGAAAATATCGTCTTTTATAATACATATCAATTCATCACTTAAAAATAAAAATCTTAACTTATGCATAATTCAATCATACAAATGGAGTAATATGCCTAAAAATCCTTTATAATATAATCATGTATTAAGTAACTGAATCATTTTATAATAATTTTCTTTCTAAAAATGAGTTTTTATTTTTATTTTTAGGCGAATTGAGTACGTAAATTTTTAAATATTTATATAGCTTTATGATTAATATGGGTAAAAAAAGATTTTCTAGGATAATGGGGTTGGGTGCAGCCACTGTTATAAGTAGTTATATGTATATCTGTATGGATCAATAAGCCATTGCTAACGAAAAAAAGATTCTAAGCAGAGATCAATTGATAGTAATGCTTTGTCAACTAAACAGTATATAATACGACATATTATGTTAAAATGATATATTATGTAGCAATTATATATATTTTTTAATACTGTTTGTTAAATGTACCGATATTCCCGTTTTTCCTACAGTCTTCTCACTTTTTCTCTATTTTTTTACATTTGCTGGGAATGTTGACAAGAAAATTTTAAAATAACCTTTATAAAGTACCAACCTAGTCAAACTTTCTTATAGTAAAATTGCTATCATTATAAATAAAAAGGAAAATTCCTGTTATAATAGTTGTCCACAGGAAAAAAATCTATTTTTCCGTTATTCCTCGGTGTATTTTTCGGTATTTCTTGTTTTGTGAGAAAATTCCTAACTAAATCGATAACTAAACTCATTAAAGTACCTGCCCGGACACATTTCTATTTTGAAAAGGTATTATAATAAAAAATCAGAGCAAGATCCTTGGTTTTTCTTACAGATAGCTTAATCAACAGAAAAAAATTATACATATATTTTTTAAAAAGTTATTCAATATATATCTCTATATGCTCCACTCAGAATCTAAAGAACCTATATAATATAACTATGTATGTAACTGAGTCATGATTATATAATTTTCTTTTAAAAAATATGTTTTTATTTATATTCTAGATTCAATACGTAAGCAAATTTTTAAATATTTTTTTATGTAGTTTTATGATTAATGTTAATTAACCAAAAAAAAACATACTAGAATAATGAGGGTCAGGTGCAGCCATTGTATAGGGTTAAAACTTCAAAGAAAGTCGATAAATGACCTCCCTATGTTACCTTCTTTGTCAGATTTCCCTTAAAAAAAGTTGCTATCATTGTAAATCGGAACTACATGATAGAAATAATGTTTACAGTAAAAAAAAAAAAAAAATTCGAAACATTGTTCAACCAACACCTACATTTCGTTCATTTTCTCGTTTTTTACAATTTGTTGAGAAAAATCTAAGGTAAATCGATATAATGTACCTCCCTAGTCAAATTTCCTTTTAGATATATTATTATCATTAAAAATCGGAGCAAAATTGTTAGTAGAAATTTTTCCACAGGAAAAAAGAAAACAATCATTTGTTTAACTTATACCTTTTTTTCAGTTTTTCACATTTGTTGGGAAAAATCTCTAAAAAAATTAAAAACTACATATTCAAATGAAATGTTGTAAAATGTCTCATTTTTTCTTTGTTTTTTTTCATTTTTCTTTCTAATTATTATGAAAAACAATTATAAGATCAAAACACGACTTTCTGAGGTTCTTATTAACCAACTACATTTAACATACAACAAAAATGTCACATGCAATTTTTTTGTTTGGAACAACATTTTAAATTGAATAGTTGTTTACAGACATAAAAATACTTTAATTCTAATAAAACCAATAGACGCTACATTCAGAATATAAAAATGCCGTAGGACACATTCAGCATTTAATTGGACAGCAGTCTTCTACATCGGTTTTTCCTAATATTATTTTGGTATCCACTACCATTATGACAGTTACTAATTCTAATTCTCCTAATAAATCTAGCTGTTAATTTTATGCTAAATTTCAATATTTTAAATAACTAATCATAATTATCCTAAACAGATTTATTACAATATAATCATGCGATATCTGACAGTAAGTATTCGGTTATAAATGAAAAATTTGGGTTATCGGTGTCGGATATCTAAAATTTGCCGACATATTTTGTAATTTTAAATTTTAAATTGATAATTGATTTTTTTATATATTTTATTACACAATTGATGAGAAAACCACATTGTTAATTATATCATTTTTGTTAAGTATTATTAATATGAATAATAACGCAAACGTATTAAATAGTCCTTTATTGATAATGGTAAAAGTTGGAATGAATATATGCATGAATATTTTCTGTAAGACCAACAATAATGGACAGTGCCCACCGTAATATGATATGTTATGATTATGTAATACTTATGGTTAATATAACATGAACGTATAATTATTGTCGCGCTGTAAACGCCTAATATACAACATCATTTCCTTAAATAGAATAATTATTTTAGTACAGTACTTAATTTTCTATTGTTAGTATCACTTACATATTAGTTATTATATTTGTTAAATATAATTGCCAAAAAGAATTACATTATTTATAATCAATTGGAGAATATCGCTGAGGCGATTTCCTAGACCTAATTGGCCTGATAGTTTTATCTATCATTATAGGATTGAGATCTTTAGCTAAAACCTTATCGCCTACATTAAATGATATTATTCTATTACCTCTATGGTTTTATCTGGATGAAACAATAAACCATTATGTATATGCATTATATCATCCAAAATATATGCAGATTATGGTAAAATAATTCCGCGGGCATTATATGTTTTCTTTTATAATATTTGTTTAATATTGAATCTATTTTCCATTTTTTCTTAGTTTTTCTTAGTTGCTTAGAAAAATATTGGGAAAATTGAAATATTGCCTTATTAAAAAAACATCCCTAGTTAGATTTAATTTTAGAAAAATTATTATCAATGTAAATTAGAGAAAAATAACCGGAAGAAAAGTTATCCACGGAAAAAAAAATATACATACTTGAAAAACCATAAACTTCTTTTCTAAGAATTTAAAACTACTTTCTAGGTGTGAAAGAGGAATACATGGAAGTTTACAGATGATAAACTATTGATAATAGAAAATCTGAAAAAAGTTAAAATAATAGGCTTGAGAAATAAAAAATAGCTCTTGAAGGAAAGGGACTAAAGATAAACTACTAAAGTGTGGAGGCTGACCATGTTGTATGGTTTGGAATGTTTAGATGCAGACAGAAAAATAGAAGAGAAAATGATTGTAGCTGAAATTAGAATACTTAAGTGGATGAGTGGACTGATGAAAGAACAAAGTATAGAGAATGAGTTCATGGAAGGTAGCTTAGTTGTGGCTTCTATAGTATTGTTAAAATGATAGAGCATAGACGGAGAAAGTTTCAATTGTCACGAGTAAATAAACAAATTAAACAGTAAGAGTTTTAAAGAAAATAAATGTAGGGGAAATAGGTGAAGAGGAAGACCGAAAACGTCGTGGTTGGATGCGATTAAGAATGATATGAAGACACCCGGTGTATGTGAAATAGGAATGAGTGAGACTAACTGAACATTTTAATACGAGAGTGGCCAATCCTTAATGGTACGGATAAAGCTAAAAGAGAATAAGACAGGGGGTATACACAACACTGGTGGTTCTTAAATTTTTTTGAATACGATAGAGTTACATGATAACATTTATTAACATATTAAAAATATTCACCCGATATTTATTTATTTATTTTATAAATAATAAATTAAAAACAAAATTATTAAAATGGTAAATACTCGTAAATAAATATAGTAAATCAATATAAATAAAAATCAATTTTTATACATTTTTTTATCTTTAAATTTATATATAATATTAAATATATTTTAATTAACTAACATAATATATTGTTTTTATCTATATGATTATATCCATATTTCAATTTCAATAAATTATATTAAATTCTATAATAATTGTAAATTATTCTAGCTACGCCAGCCGATAAAATTCGCTTCAGAGTGGCAGGAGGTATGCATCGAAAATATTTTATAGAACATTTAAAAAATCAACTAAAATCATTCAGATATTGGTATTAAAATATAAATTTATTTAATTACTAACTAGTTAATTTTTGTTTAATAGGATATAAAATTGACAATGACGGAAGCAAGTGGTTTAAACAATTATTGTTTTTATTTGTCTATTTAGCAGATAGCACAATTACTATAAGAATTTTAAAAATATAAATGGTCATTGAGAAATTATTTTGGTTAGTAATTGAGTTGTAAAATATATCTGTTTAGATACTTTTTTTTATAAATAACACTAATGATGCCGCTGCTATTTTCAATGATGCCTTATATGAGAATCCAAGCTTTCCTTAATGTTTGTCAAATTATCTAAAACAACTTATTATCAATAAACAAAAAGCACATATTATCTTTTAAAGGTCTAGTATTGATATAGATCAAATTATTTACCATAAAGTCAGAGCCAAATGCAAGTGACTTTCAAAACTAGACTGTTCTTTATATATTTGTCGCACTAAGCTGTTACGACACCAGACGCTGGTCAAGACATAGTTGTATTTATCACATATATGTACGTACACTTCAGAAATGACAGAACGCGTTGGCGTCGAGGTGACAGTACTCCTTCTCGCACATCGGTGGTGTGGATATACCTTCTGTTGTCCTCATCTGACTAAACTACTTTTATGGTTCAAACGGTCGTCTGATAAATTGTCGCCTTGGATTAGATTGCGATAGACACCGCTATCGTTGTTCCCTGATGCACATGCTCCGTATCCGGACACATTTTCTTCTTGGCCCATCAAACATTTACACATATCATCCGCTGTGGTGTGGAAATGTCTGGTTGTCATACCCCTATTAATGACCCTTACGTACTTAGTTGCGTACAAATAATAATTCTTATTCAACGATTTCCTTTTCGCAATAGAAAGAACAACGTACATAAGTGTATATTAAACAAAACAATAGTTAATTCAGGTGTCAGATCTTCTAGTACAAATAAAGAATATTTGACTAAACATTTTGATTTGCTTGACACTAGCCGTCTTACCGGTTATGAGTTAAATAATTGTTGTTATATCAGTTGGTAAAGGTCTGTTTGGTCCTAAATTTAAAAACCAAATCATACTGTAGTATTAGACAATATCCAGATTAAGTAGGTTAATACTAAATTGTACAAATATGTTTTCATTAAGTTAATGTCGAGATAATCAACAATTATTTCACACCCATAACCGGAGCACCAGAAGTATAAATATATTTAATTTTAAGCCAGTAACTTTGGGTACAAGATAATTGTTAATGATAAGGAGGGAATATGTAACATAAAACTTGGAGAAAAAGTAATAAACGAGGTCATCTCTGGTGATCGTGTGACGCGATTTGGACAACAGTAATAAAGTTTTACCTTTTTCATTATGTTTATTATTTTTTAACCATATATGCACTTCTTAATAATTAGGCAAATTATTCGTGATATACTAAATAATATTTGGCCAATTTTTTTTTTAAACAATTATGGTTTTTTATAAAACAAAATGATAATTATTATTTTATTTTTTACTCTCCCAGATTTACGTTATAAAGACAAGAGTATGTATTTTATATTTTGATAAAAAATAATTGAATCTGCTTTTATAATAAGGGTACTGAATAATAAATACATATTCGGCACTGTTAGTTATTGTATTATTTTAATTATGGTTTCTTGTTTTTCTCGTAATCAAATATTTATGGAGTAAGGGTATACCATAGGTATTTTTATTTTTTTACATTTTTCTCAATAAAATTGATATAGTATCTTTGTGAACCTTCGTTTTCCACTATTTCTACATTCCGATAGTTTAGACTATTTATGCATAGCAATAACATTTTCCGATGTTCTTAACTAATCACAGTAAAGGTGATCTCTGTTAAACAAAGTTCGAGCAAAAATTGTTTTTATTTTAAATAATTTTAGGTGAAGTGGTTACAGCCTTATGGAAATATATTAAATAATTATAATACATTTTGTTTTAAAGATGAACTTGTTACAGGTATGAATCTTAAATAATTACTTTAGAATAAATCATTTATTTTTTGAATACTAACAATAAAAAAATAAATTGCTATACAAAATAATCAATCCTCGGAAAATATACATTTTTTGGGGGGTCAATTATTTAAATATCATGTGCCACACAATAGGTGTGTTACTACTCTTGCCCAAATATAAAACTGAAAAAACTTCGACAGTTGTTTGACGGGAATTAAATATTTTTTCTTAAAATTGAGTTTAATCTAAACTTTTTAACAAACTATAGAATTTTTAAAATAGATTGCTTTTAAAAATTTAAACTTGTTGTTGTTTAACCTAAAATTACGAACTTTATTTTTCTGATTTAGTGTTATATTTCAACCGTTTATTGTTTACTGATATGTTATCTGTTCCCAATTTTAAGACTTAAGGGTGATTGATTTTTCAATATTTAACCAACAGTAATTACACCGGTCATAATTACACGACACTAATATTTATTTATTTTATGTGCATATTTATAGTTCCTGGTTCAAACTGATCAGTATTTAAAGTTGCTCGATTTTTAAAATTTCAATTAAACCTTTAATATATTCGATTTGATGTCGTACATAATTTTTTATCAACAACATTTTTTAAGGATAAATAGTTAATGTTTTGACAACATGATAAATACAATCTTTAATGCTATTATTTTCTAATGAAACATCAGAACCTCTAATTCTGTTTCTAATTCTGAAAAATGTATAATACAAAAGTTTTTGGATTTATGGAAATCTTAAATAATTTGCATATGTTTTAATACTGTCCTTTAGGGGAGAAAGAACTTATGCAATTTACATAAATGGGGTCCTATATTTGTTTTCCTAATTCTTTTTTTTTTCAATCGAATCGAGTGTTATTCAATGATTATGTTCGTTTCAATACTATATTATATAATATTATTGTGTAGCTGTTCTCAAAGCTTGTGGCATTTGAATAATGAGTTGATGGAATTTTATTCTCCCACTGACTTAATTTTATTTTAAGATAATTAACACTCCTAATTTGAACCAAGATTTGTTCAAATTTGCATAAGTTTTCCGGTTTTTTCCAATTATTAGGGTTGTCCTAAATAATCGTAAAATATCAAAAATAAATTACTTTAATAGTGCACCAATTTGATACACAAAAAAAAAATAACAAAAAAAAAATCAACAAATAAGCACTCATAGAAAAACCATATACATCCACCTTCAATTGTCTCATACCAATCACAATGATGGTGGTTTCTCTAATTTTAAAATTAAACAAACGGTTTTATTTATAAATCAATTATAAGAAAATTAAATGTAGCTTATGGCGCTTAATTAAATTATTCTTATACATTTTGTTTATTCATACGCTAGTCGAATTTTCAAAACGCACTCCTGAAAATAGTTTAGTAAAATAATTATTTAAGGATTTATGTTTTTTACTATTTAAAAATTTTACTATTACCAAAATTTTTTTTTTTAATTCCCAGATATGGATTGTAAGTATAATCTACGAATACTAGCTACCTACCTTGATTTTGTGTCCAAATAATAAATATATTTCTAAGTCAAAACTAAAATATATTTTTATGTTTTCTATAGTGGGATGCAAAAATTATTTGATGTATGTTTTAACTACGGTTGTTAGTGGTAAGTACTTAACGAATTAAATTGATGCAAACAATTTAAACAATTTAAACAATTTAAACATATGATGCAAAGTTCTAATTATACAAANTTAGTGGTAAGTACTTAACGAATTAAATTTAAGAAAACATATGATGCAAAGTTCTAATTATACAAATATCAGAAACTCGGGATACTACTCATACAATATGTTTTAAACCGTTTAATACACAATATATTAATGAATATTATAATAATAATACACTTACATTTTGATTCCCCATGTGGCCGGGATCAGAATACACCCATTAGCCATTGTACATCTACTTGTCGTATGAGTGAACAAATGAGTTTGTACTAGGAAAGGTACGTAGCCAGAAAATTTCTGTCGGGGGGAGCAAAAATTTGGGTCCTTGTATAATTTTCAATCATTTGTTCCCAATGAAAATACTGTGGGGATTCTCCTTCACACTCCCTCATAGAATGTATTCCATGCCAAAAATTTTACTAATTCAAAATTTACCTATGTTTGGTTAAAATACAATTGTTGTTATATTTTAAATGTCTACAGTAGTTTGGTTTTACTGAGTTGTAAATGAATTTCAAAGCCAGCATTAAAGATTATCATTAAAGAATTAATACATTATATGTTTTTTTTCAGATATAAAGCAACCGTCGGATTATTTTAAATCTTATTCGCAGGTATGCAGATTTATTTAATATCTAAATTTGATACCCTAACTGATAATTTTACAAAGTTGAATTTTAAAACGTATAACCATTTTAATATCATTTTTTTTACCTTGCACAAAACCCTCAATTTTCACTTCCCGGCTTACAGTTATACCGTGAAGGTACGACATATATCAGTGAATCAACTTGTTATGAATTTGAGTACTCGTATTTGTCTTAACATTACCGGTTTTAAGCACTCTGCACTAAAAATAGTACCAGTTTCCTGAAAAATGTTTTTGCCTTAAAAATCATGACTATAGAAACAGGCATATCAGGTGATAGTGTGAACAAAATTGAATTTACTCAAAGAAAAATCATGGTTCAAAGAGTCATTGTATGAAAAATATTCTATGACCGTAGTTTAGTATCAATATTATTGTAATGTTGAAAAAATGAATGCTGCAGGAAGATGAAATCACCCAGGGTGAAGGCCCAATGATAGTAGATATCTTGCTGATATGATTGAACATTTAGCTATATCAGAATAATTCAGTTCTACAAAACCAATCAAATTTATACATTTTTTTTCAGCGTTCTGTATTAATATTTACGATAATTAATATAAAATTATATACAGTTATAATAATTATAATAATAATAATAAATTTCACCAAAAAACAATAAACAACAACGATCAACGAACCAAAAACAAAACAAATGTATTGTTCTACCCACTTTTTATTTATTTTAAAATGTATTCAAGAAGATAATTTAATGAACGGAAATTTATTAATGCAACTGATATGACACCACGACAACAAGATTCACCTTGATTTGTGTTATATAACTTATTTTTTATTTGTGTATAGATATTAAATATGGATACGGCTTTCCTATAATACACGTATAATAGTATGTATATTGCTGCACTCGTAAAGAAATGAACAATAGTTTTCACTCAAACGATCATTCCACATAACAAAACATTGATAATAATTCAACAAGCATGATGTAATGATATTATCATCATAAGTATTGTTTGTCCACGCAAAAACTACATAATTATTATCCAGTTTGGTTACGTGTGACTTACAGTAAACGTATTAATATTTTTTAATATTTAGTTCTTAACTAATTATATATCTATATTAATTTTATAATATTTATTAAAACTAAAAATGATAAACAAATACATGATTTGCAATCGTAGATAAGTGCCTCAACATAATATCATTAATTTATTTTTCATAAATCAATAAATTGAATTCAAACTAGATACAGTAAATGTTCATGTAAATGTATTGTTCCTTACGTATTTCCTCTGTATATATAAATTATAGGTACAATTTTATGTTATTACGCTATCCAGTGACTAAAATCGTATCAGGTGGGTTGATTTAAAAATGTGCGTGCGAATGCCGTATCCATTAGTTTAATATCTATGGTAATTTATTTTCAACTTTTTCAGGACCTTCAAAGAATTTTTTTAAGGAGCAAACGTATAATTTTTTATTTTTCATTAAATTCCTTAGAAATTCGTTAGTAAAAAAAAGTAAAAGTACAATTTTAGTTAGTGAGTTCTTCTGATTTTATGCCGACAAGTGTTGTCGTAAAGTATTTGAAAGTATATGAAAAGTATTTCAGTTTGCATACTTTTGTTTTGCAATTGCATATAACCGAAGATTCAGGGTTTTAATTCTCCCTCAACAATTTATACAAAATAGTGGAATGTCCAAAACATGTTTCTCTCCGAAATAATAAATTTCTTGGGCTAGATAGATCCCCATGTATATTTATCAGATAATTTACATTACCCCCCTTGGCATATTGCTATATGGTTAAAACAAATAAAAGACGTAATACTATACGTATATACAACACGCACAGGTATTTTTAGAAGGCCTAGATATATTCACAGTTATACATCATGTGATTGCCACATTTGTGCGCAAATAAGAGAAGGATGGAGTTAGAAGATATGTTAAAACGACTAAACAATTTTTATTGATTTTTTTGTTTATCAATTATAATGCGTATGTGATAGAACTTTAATTTTTCGTTTAAACATTTATTTTTTTTTATTATTATTATTACAGATTATTACTGATATTAGCAAAATAGCACCCTTCATAAAAATATCTTGGATCTGTCACAGATTTACATAGATTATATAAGAATGGATAGAATATAAGAATTGTATTAATCATAAAATTTAGTAATACACTTTAACGTTATATTGGGTAAATATTAATGTGCATTTGATGTATTAAAAACACAGAACACAACAATGGACCATGATATCACGTAAAAGTAAATAAAAATAAAAATTGAGTAGGCACACAAAGTTTAAAGTATGAGTATTCCAATTTACAGGCTCAGATTGACAATTGTAAATATTATATTATAAGTCGTATAGATATTTATGTTCTGTCGTAGTTAATATTTTTCACGCCTTTCAAAATTACTTTTTACACTATTCTTTTTTCCAATCTTTTTAAATATCAAACTGTTCCAAAAAAAATTTTCTAGGCAGTTGGTACTTATCACATACAAATATTTCAAAAATACTTTTTACAAACTTTTTATTTTTACAAAGTTTTCAACTACGTATTCTCAATATTCCATGTCAAATTAATTTTCAATAGCGAATTATCAATTCTATTTTTCAACATCGAAATACAAAATCAGTTTTTTAACAGCGAAATGTCAAATAAATGTTCAACGTCTAAGTATAAAATAAATTTTCAACATCAATGGGGATCATGAGCTAAATTATTATTTTTATTATATATATATATATTTTTTTAAATAGTATTGTTAAATGTTTCTGGAATAGTTAAATACTTGAAAAGACCGGAATCTGTAAATATATTTTTTTAAATATTGTTTTATGATAAGTATCAACTGCTCTAGAAAAACATACATTCTTCTACTGCTACTATAGTATTTAGTAGTTACTAATTTGATAACTTATTAATAATTATGATATTTTTATTATTTAGTAAAACAGTTTTTGTACATAACATTAAAAAAAGGTCAATCTTCTTTCTGTCTTTGTATGTTCTCTCTTCTCCAGAAAAGCAAATAGCTCCTTAATATGAAACTGTTATAGCGTGTCTTATCCATTCTTCTATATATGGTATTAAAATTCAAAATTCATAGAACATCGAACGATAAGCTATTTTTGTGACACCATTTTATGTTACAGACACTGCAACCACCACCGACATAATTACAAAGATGAACGTGTTGAAAAATAATTAAGTAATATAATGATAAATTAATACATTATAGAAGATAAAAATAAAAATATCTTATGCTATATTATTTTTTTTTTAACTAACTAATACATATTACATAATATGAAATAACTAATTTCACAGTTTAATACGAATTATATGACAAATTACATTTTTATTGTTCAATATTTGTGTTGTAAATTATAATAAAGTATAATATTCTTTTTGGATTCTTTATTGGTAATACCTCTATAACATTTTTAGTTTTCTGGGTCGACTTAAATATTTATCGCAGTAGTATTAATTTAAATTATTTAATATTTTATGTATTCCTTTATTTAAAATAAATTTACAAACATGTGTAATAATATGGTAGTTTAGTTGGAATATTTACAATGAATGGAATGAATGGAACGACACCGTGACGATCATAGGCTAAGATAAAATAGATTGGAAATGACAGGGTGAATAACAACATCGTGGTGTATATCACGGAAAGAAATATGTTCATTAGCTTTGCAATCTCCACCTATACTAATATACAAGTATACTACATAATTGGATCAACGTGGTCTGGTGCCGGGAGAACGGAACGAGTAAATAACGTGTAATTCATATTGCATCATTTAAACAGAATCCCTTTAGTGAAGAAACGATTATAGAGGGTGAAAAACTAACCCAACTCTTATGTGCCGAGAAAAACAGGAAATGGCATGAAACAATTGAAAACATCGACATGACAAAAAATAGTAAAAAAGCTTGGGGACTTATAAAGAAATTAAACGGAGATCAGACAATACAGACGTCCTGTATAAACGTTACGACAAATCAGGTAGCCTCAGAATTACTTCGTAATGGGAAACCAAACACCAAAATCAAAAAAAAGGAAGATCAAGAGGAATAAAGAGATAAAATGCCATAACTTCCAGGACGATTTTACGATGGAGGAGCTAAGTAACAGTTTACAAGAAATGAAGAACGGTAAAGCGGCAGGATATAAATTGGCTACAATATAAGATTTGACAAAGTTACCGATCATTAATATTGGTGCTATTACTATTTGTTTATTTGTTTATTTTATTTTTTATTCATTTATATATATATATATATATGTTACCTATTTATAACTAACTGATTATTGGCAATTTTAACTGGATTTAACTATTAATGGTCTTGCAAATCAAGTTTTAGACTTCAGGGCCCTATATATATTGTATAAGAACTTAGAATATAACTGTATATTTTATGTACAATACATATAATGTGACTAAAACATTATCAATTCCAATGTTTATAATAAATATTGTTTAAAAAAAGAGAATTGTGTTTTATTTCTTATATAGTTTAATTTAATTTTTCGATCCCTATATACAATTTATAATGTATCTTGTGTTAAATTATTAAGCATTTCATTGACATGTAAATTTAATAATGGATAAATTTTAAATTACCAAATAAATATACATATAAAAACACGAATATATCAAATATTTATAATTAGCCTAAAATTTGTTCACGTTTACAGAATTTCAATAAAAATATTTTGTGAAAACTAAAGGTCTCTACAATAATTTTTAACCCAATATTGCCGTACACTTTGACATATTTCTTACATTTTTCCTAAGTTTTCGTAATTATTAGGAAAACTATACGGAAAATAAAACAACGACTTTCTTACTCACGAACTAGACAATATTTTGTTTCAAAAAATATGCTTTTCTTGAATTCTGGAAAAAGATTTTGTGGTAGAAAAATATCATCATAAAAATTTAAGCCAACATATACTGTAAGAGCAAGGTGATATTTGCGTGCACCTGCCTCTTATCATTTATTTTAGTGCAGATTTAAATTTTATTACAAAATAAAATAAAGGTTATTACAATATTAATCTTCGGGAAAACATTCATAACCTACAGTCAAGCCTGCTAAGATGTCACAAGTTCTATAATATATAGTTATGTTGGTTTCAACTATCGTTCTATAGGCGTGATATTGTCGTTTAGGCAAGATTCTTTCTTGGATGTAAATGGCAACAAAACACAAAACTAGGTCAAAATCTATGGTTCTTTATGTTTTATTATCAACAATTTTACTCTAGAACTCAGTAGCTGGCTTTACTGACTGGATTGCCGAGGGAACGTTACTCCTTATGCGCCACTGCGTTTTATCACACATTCCATTATCCCAGTTCTTGGTGGTTATATAATTCAACTACTGTTCGTAATTGAAAATATAAGTATTAATTTGGTAACCTGGCGAAAATTTCTTTATAATAAAACACATACATTAATTAAACGCAAAATTAGTGACGTATTTGAGGGGGGCGATGTGGCGATCATCCGCCCTCCATCAATTGATTTGTGTATGTATTCAAAATATACAAAATTAAAATTGAAAACACTTCATTATAAGATAAATAGTGTAGAATATAAGTTTGTGTATATACCCTGTGTACAATTATTTTAGTTTCGTTTATCCCCCCCCCCACCCATCAAATTAAGTCAAATATGGCAACGTCTAAAATATATCACAATAATGTATTTAAACAGACTGGGCTCGTTCTCCGGTTGAATTCAATCCAAGCCCAGAATAATAGTGATTTGCTCTAAAATATTTTAATAATTTGTATAAAATAACCGCCTCATCCCGTGACAGTAGCGCGTTGCTCATTATACGGACGGCGACTGGGTAACATATTTTGATAGACGTACCTTTACTATTATATTTGAATATTATAATGATAATATTAATGCTGGTAACGGTGAAAATGGCGTAAAAAATATTATAACACATATTAAAATATGATACTATTATTAAGGCCTTATTCTAATGGGCAGTAGGACCCAAATTCGGTAGTAGGAAATATCAAAAGTGCAGTTGGTTTCATAAATGTGGGCACTTTACAAAAAATATAATTTTCCTTAACGTTGAGAATGATTGAATTTCTACTTTGTATTTGTGTAATTTATAAACTTACTTTGTTCCTAAAGCGCTTCGGACGCACACGTTTTTATTTAATTGACGTGGCGATTAATCGCTTAAAATTGAACATGTATTAATTTATATGGGTACATTCATACACGCGATTGAGATGCGAGTATGCGAGTACGATTGCGTCTGATGCACTTCAAACGTGGCGAATCGCGTATGTTTATTTTTGAACATCCGGTCACTGAAATTCACCATTTTTTCCCCGATGTATTTTAAATGAATTTTTCTTATTAGCTTACACACCACTCGATTCGTTGTTTTGTTTAGCAAATAGATATAAAATAAAATATTGTAATCTGATTATGTCAGTATGTCAACGGCTAAGCTTATCGCGATTCACAACAACACAAGTTATTCTTTATAACATAGATAGCGAAAATAGTATATGTTCATTAGTATATGTCGTTTATTTTC